AAACTTCAGAACCTGTAATAAAAGTTAAGTCTCTAAACAAAACATCTAAACATAAACTTCCAAATGATGCAGTGAATCTGAATGAATAACTGGTATTACATTTAATTTTGTTTGTGTGTGATCTGCTTTATTAAAACTTCTCAAAGAGTTTTAATGATAATTTGAAATTATCCCTTCATAAATTTATGTTTACCTTATAACTTTAAGCTTTTAATTTTCATTAATATTTCAAAAAAATAATTTAAAAAACTGTTTCTGATTGGTTGTTTTTGGTGGGAGCGCTGCATTTCTTCAGACGGCAGTAGCAGCTCAGACAGGAAGTGGATATTGATCTTTTCTCATTTATTCTGTCACAACATGGTGACAGTTTTAACAAGTATGTAAAAAAAAACATGTCTTTTTTTAATAAAAGTTACAAACTGAAGCTTTAATCCTGGAAATGTTCTTCAGGTTCAGGTTACAGAAGACCGACTTTGTAATTATCTTTATGTTTCTCTGAATGTTCAGGTCGTAGTTCATTTTGACTCCCAGATAAATAAACTTATTTCAGTTGTTTATTGGATTCAAATATCTAATTTGATTAAAAAATAAATTAAGTTTTTGACTGATCAAAGTCTGGATGGATGTTTGGAGGAGGAAGACGGGATGAAGGATGAGTGCAGCTTGTCCGTCTCGGCCCCTCTGTGGCCAATTTTATCCTCCGTCAGCGTGCTGAACGAGGGATGAGGAGAGGCCGATGAATAATAGAGGAGAAGATGGATGAGAACGAGGCTCCTCGTCTTTTCTCCAGTGAAAACTCAACCCAAGGAAAAAAAAAAATAGACGTTCATGTTTTGCTGACGCGGCATTGCGTAGCGTGGAAACATCACTCATGAATGAACCAGCTGGGAAACGACAAATTAAGGACCTTAGAGTTTGTTTCCTCTGCTGCGTTCAGTCTGGAGGTAAAGCTGTTGGGAGGAACGCTGCATGTTTTGGTTGGCTGCACTTCCTGTCTGGACTTATTGACCGCTCAGAGGAGCGCCATCATTGATCACCTGGAGATGCCACACGCTGTTCAAACACGACCAAATGGTGAGTAAACATGCAGAGGATCACCTTCTCCCAGTCCAGCTTTGCTCAAAATAATATCAGAGTGTTTATAAAAACAGAGCAAAACCCTGAACGCACATTTATTAAACCAATATTTGCACCACTATGTTTGAAGAAATATCGTACACACAAGAAATGGGTTTCAGGACAGACTACATCAGCATGAATCTGCATAAATATTCCACTGACTGTTGTAAACATGCCAAACCTACAGGGGGCAGTGTAGCACTAGTCAGCCAATCAGATTGCTTCAAAACAACCACGACTTCCTGTTACGGACTAAAGTTATTTTCATATGCTAACAAAAGTAGCATACACCAAGAATGTCTAATTATTTTGACAATATAATAAAATATAATAATATATTTATAATATATAATACTGTGTCAATATAGTAGATTGACACAGTATTAGAATTATATGGTTAAGATCAGAAGTCTGAGATTAAACTCAGAATTTTGAGGGGAAAAAAAGTCAAAATGTTGAAAAAAACTCATTTTTCAGAAATTTAGGTGAGAATTTTGAGAAAAAGATTTGTGAAAAAAGTCAGAATTTGGAAAGAATTGTCAGAATTGTGAGAAAAAAGTCAGAAATCAAAGATTTAAGTCAGAAATTTGAGAAAAAAAGTTTTTTGAGGAAAAAGCCAGAATTTTTAGAAATAGTTAGAATTTGGAGAAGAAAGGCAAATATTTTCAGAAAAAACATCGGAATTCTGAGGTTTAAGTAAAAAATCTCAGAATAAAAAATATTTTGAGAAAAGAAATCAGATTTCAGAAAAAAACATCAAAGTTTTGATAAAAAGTCTTCTCTTTCACCCAGTCTTTTCCCTCCTTTACATTCTTGAGCTGCTGCATCTCAAACATCGTCTTCCATGTCCTCCTCTCTCCGTTTCTCCTCCGTCCTGCAGCTGTCCTGTTGTTGTTGTCCCTGTTCTCCTGGTTCCAGAAGAGCTAAGCCAATTCCAGGCCAGATTACAGTAATAAAGTCACTGAGTTTGAGGATTACAGCTGAGCTCTCCGGACACTGAGAGAGACGGAGGGGAAGCAGAAAAAGGAGGAGAGAACGAGGGAGAGCGGGTTAATGAGCAGACGGAAAAGAGAGAGAGGGTTACTGAGATTTCCTGACTCCAACAAAGGGATTATGACTTAAGGAAGTTAGCAAGATGAACGTCTGCTCAAATCCTCGACATGATCCGCACCGAATAACAGCAGCTAGTGGCCTCCGCAACAAAATGGCTCAAGTTCTAGACAGCTGCAAGAAAAGATGTTTAACCTTTAACCTTTTCATTCAGAGCAGAGGATGGAAGTTTGTTTCTTTAGGATTAATGTTCCCATGTAGCATAATATTCACAAACGTGCTACCTGAGGTAGCACGTTTAACTATTTCACAGTTTTGTGCAAAACTTTTAAGCCCCTCAAACTAAACCAAATATTTTTGGTTTAGTTTGTAGTGCAAATATCTTAGTACATATGAAAGAAGACAAAACTAACTTACAAGGAACTTTTTAGCAAGTTATATGAGCTTGTTTAAGTCAGTAATTCCTTAATACTGATTTTAAAAACAATCTAGTTCCACTGGCAGATTGTTATAACATGGTAAAAATGTCTTATTATAAATTAAATAATCTGCCAATGTAACAAATCCTTTTTCAACTGCAAATTAGTGTTGTCTTACTTTAAGTGTACAAAGATATTTAAGATTTAGCTCTAAATTATTTAGCCTGCAAACTAAATATTTTGCTAGCAAGCCAAACATTTTGTTAGCAAACTTAGTTCCAAACTAAATATTTAGTTTAACTAAATATTTTGCCTGCTAGCAAAAGTTTTAGTTAGCCAACTGAATATTTGGCGACTAAATAATTAGTTATTATTTAGCTCTTTTGCTGTAGTTTCTTTTTCTTTTTATTTAATGAAAATCCAAACTTCATCACCCAGTTGTTGGTGAAAAAAAGATCCATGACCTCTTAGTAACTTTAAAAACATTTCAGTTTCAGATATTGCTAACATGGTTTTTAGTCCCCAATTTTTTTTAAATTAAGATTCACCAAGTAATTGATTGACAACGGTGTAAGAAATATACACAAACCTTTGAAAGATTAAGCAAAGCAAGAAGATTTCTTTGCTTGTAAGGAAAAAAATGAGAAAATGAGAATGCTGGTTTTTAGCATTGGAATGTAATTACCCCATAAAAGTCCTACTTCCTAAACACTTAAACGCCCATGAGAAAATCACTGAAAGGAAAAAACTCAGCTGAATAAACTGAGGGGAAAATACTCTTAAAATATAATTGGAAACCAGGATACCAGCAGAAAAAGCTCACAGATTAATATTTTCCTGCTGTGAAGTTTCTGCTACTATCTGAAGATTAAAAGGAAACATTTCTACAGCATTTCAGTCATCAGATAAAAGAGATTCAGGACTTCTGCTCATTTAAGCTGCTTATGGCTGATTTTAACTTTAACGACGAGGAATCCCAGAGACATGATGCACAAATACTTAGTGCATTAATGGACTGCAATGAATCCCGAGGTTAGGGACGTTGCATCATAATGTCATAGCTAAATATTTAGCTAGCAAGCTAAAAAAGTAAATATTTAGCTTGGTAACTAAATGTTTACCTCCCTAAAGCTAAATATTTTACTTAGAATTTAAATACTGGCTTCAAACTAAGTCTGTAGACTACAGATTTAGTTTAACTAAGTATTTAGTTATAACTAAAAATTTAGCTAAAGCTAAATATTTAGTTTGGAGCAAATTTTTAATTTGTAAAAATTGACTATTTTACTTTGCTTGTTAACTAAATATTTAATTTGTAAGCTAAATATTTAGCTTCAAAGTAAATATATTAGATTGGAGCTACATATTTAGTTTCCTAACTAAATATTTAGCTTTTAAGATCATTGTTTTGCTTGCTAAATATGTAATTGGGAGTCAATATGTTGGTTGTGAACAAAATATTTAGTTTGTTTACTAAGTATTTAGTTTAGAGTTAAATATTTAATTTGTAAACTGAACATTTATCTCCAAAGTAAATATTTAGCTTGCTAATTAAAAAAAATAGTTTGAAACAGTGACATTTATAAATGAATGAACAACATGGTGAAAATACTGAAAAACGAATCGCCAAGGCCAAATAAGCAGCATTTAGACCTTTACTAACTAATCCCATCAGACTAACTAGAAATCACCGTCAGGCAGAGATAACAGCGTGAATCAAACGAAGAGTGAAACATCTGAAGGCTGTTTCCATGATGATCCACAGGTGATGCAGCACCTGTCTCTTTAAAAAAGCCGGATTGTGCTATAGAGCAGAGAAGGAGGGGGAGGTTTGGCGCTAGCTGCATTGGAACAGTCCTCTCTAATGAGCAGATTTTATGAGAGAGAGACATCCACAGAAAAAGCACGGAGAGAGAGAGAGAGCGATCCGGCCGTCAGAGGAGACTGGGAGCGGGGCAGCAGCAGGCTGTGCGTCAGCCGGTGCTCCATAGGGAAACATGGAGATGAGCAGGAGAGGACACGGAGCAACGCGGATCACATAGATGGATGTTGTTTCATCAAAACAGGCAACAACCAGGCAACCTGAAGGCAACCCACGCAGAGGATAAACCACTTATGGACGCAGTGGATTAAACCTGCGTTCAGACTGAGAGGCAGAGAGAGGGAGGAGAAATTCATCAGTTTACTTTATTTTTTTTATTGTCGGAGGGTGCGCACTTTGTTTCTCTCTCTGAGTGTGTGAGTGTGAGTGTGTGTGTGGCTGCAGAAGGTAGGAGACTGCATTGCTGTTCAGCCTTCAAAGCTGAGTATCTTTGTGTTTTCCCCCATTTTCACTCTCTCCCTCCCGCATGCATTGTGCGGTAACACTCATGCATGTGAGAAGGAAAAGACGATGAGTTTGAAGTGAGACCCTCTTTTATTTTTATTTTTATTTTTCTGGATTTTTGGGAATAAGCTAAGAGGAGAAAAAATTTTTTTTTTTTCCAAAATTTTTTTTTTTTTTTTTTTTTTTTTTTTTTTTGGAGGGCCTTGACCGGGTTTGAACCTCCGCAGGGAAACTTCTCGGCATCATCAGGTAGGAGGCGGCAGAACAAGTGGGCCTGAGTGGGAGGAAGAGTTTGTGTTGTAGACTGTGTAGGCCTGATGGGTGAAACTCCAGCTGGGAGAGGATAATGGCAGCTCCGGGCCAACTCTCCTCCTCACCCACCTGCATCGGCTGCAGAGGACCTGGGAGGTGCTAGCCGAAGCCGATCAGAGCCCGGCGGGATGATGGTGTGATCAGGGTCCGGCTGTAAGGCCCCTCTTTCATCCTTCACCTCCTTTCATTGAAAACGGGTGGCGCCTCCTTTTCCAGCCTCCTAACCCTCAAACTCCCCGATAGAGGTGTGCGATACGCCATATTTTGGTATCGATCCAATTAAATACAGCGCCAGCATCACAGATACGATACAGATACTGATATTTCTATTAAGTTTGATACGTCATCAAAATGAGCGTTTTTTGTGATTTTTTTTTTCCTCTTTATTTTGTTAAAACCTAGGAAAGAATTTGGGCCCCTGTAAAGGTGTGCAATAATATATTTATTGATCCGAGTAAATACAGCAGCAATATCGCTGATACAGATACCGATATTTTTATTATTCAAGTTTGATACTTCATCAAACTTTGTGTTTTCTTCGTCCTTTGAATGAATTTGGACCCCAGTAAAGATGCACGATAACATCAATCAAAGTAAATACAGCAGCACTACCACCAATATCGATACAGATATTGATATCTTTATTATCTAAGTTTGATACATCATCAAACTTCATGTATTTTTTTTCTCCTTTGAATTATTTTGTTAAAACCTAGGACAGAATTTGGACCCCAGTAGAAATGTGCGATATGGCATATTTTTATATCAGTCCAAGTAAATACAGCAGCAGTTTCGCCAATACAGACACCGGCAATAACTATATCTCCAATATTTTTATTATTTAAGTTTGATACATCACCAAACTTTTGTGGGGGGTTTCCCCAGTTTTAATTATTTTGTTGAAACCTACGATAGAATTTGAGCAAAGAAAATTTAGGGGTGCAGCGATAAATCAGCTTCCATTTCTTTAATTTTTAGAGATCGGTGATCAGACGATATGTAAATTTGCAGACGATCTTATCCACTTCAACAATTTAATCAATCACTGTCTTTGTTTTGACGCCCAGCATTGAAAAAGGTTTGACTGACAGACCCATATCGGCCAAAATTCGGAATCGGCAGATCTGGCTTTTTAAAGATTGGCCAGAAAACTGCAATCGGTGCACCCCTCGTGTTTTTTCCCTTTTAATTATTTTGTTAAAACCTATGACAGAATTTGGACAACGTCTATAGGTCGGAGTGCACCAATAAATCAACTAGCTGATAAATCCTCCCCAATTTCCTTAATTTTTGGAGATTGATGATCGGCTGACCTTTTCTACCTTGACAAAAGTCTAAAAATCAAACCCTGTCCTCTTTTTCTCTGCTGTGAAAAAGCTTTGACTGGCAGACTGGCCCACCCGGTCATGGCTTCATGTTTCCAGTTAACGGTAATCTCCCCACTGCTACCAACTTAATGACTTTTCTTATTTTATTTGCTAACATTTCAAACAAACAAACAAAAAAATTGGTATCGGCCAAAATCAGAATTAGTAGGCCAGAGATCGGCCAGAAAACTGCAATCGCTGCAACACTTTTGTGGTATTTTTCCTTTGAATTATTCCGTTAAAATACAATTTGGACAAAATTTAGAACCATCTACAAAATACTTTTAATAACATGATAAACAGAAACTATAGAAGAACAGAACAAATCTGTGTGCATTTTGGCTAAATAAACCAAATCTTTGATAAACTACTGAAAGTAAAATAACCTGAAACTAAAGAATCGATCGTTCCGATCTTATCTGTATTTTTTGGATCGATCCGCCCACCTCTGGCACCAACCTGCCCTTCTTTTTCTTCCCTCTCTTTTCTTTTTCTTTTCTTTTTCTTTTTGTCGAGGCTTCGGGGGAATTGCCAAGAGCTGTTTCATGCATGTCCACTGGCGGCAGGTTCAACTTTGACGATGGGGGGTCATACTGCGGAGGGTGGGAGGAGGGCAAGGCGCATGGCTACGGGATCTGCACGGGACCCAAGGGCCAGGGCGAGTACTGCGGCTCCTGGGCGCACGGCTTCGAGCTGCTGGGCGTCTACACCTGGCCAAGCGGGAACACCTACCAGGGCACCTGGGCTCAGGGGAAGAGGCACGGCCTGGGCGTGGAGAACAAAGGCCGCTGGGTGTACAAAGGCGAGTGGACGCACGGCTTTAAGGGACGCTACGGCGTGCGGGAGAGCACTGGGACGAGCGGGAAGTACGAGGGGACGTGGAACAACGGGCTGCAGGATGGCTACGGGACGGAGACGTACTCGGACGGAGGTAAGGCTCAAAGTTCGATATAATACATTTACTCAATTAGATTTACTGGAGTAACTTTATTGGGAAAAAAACCTGTTAGAGGTGAGCAGAGTACTCAAAATTTGTGATCAAGTAGGAGACGACTTCAACATATTTTTACTCAAGTAAAAGAAAAAAATATTCGAGAAATTACTCGCGTAAAAAAGTATTTGGTAAGAAGTCTATTCAGGTACTGAATAACTGATCAAATTATCAATCATTTAATATTTAAAAATTACATCATCAAACATAAAGTTAAGTGGAAATTTTGGTATTTTAAGAACCAAAATGAAAATAATTTATATAAGTAGCAAAAAATAAAATCAGGCAATATATATATATATTTTCAATACAAACTTTACAAAAGCTGCAGGGTTTTTGACTTTATCTGGAGAATTTTGGGTTAAAACATGTTTGTTCTGAAATTTTAAGTTTATTTTTTGTTTATTTCTGAGCTCAATCTCAACATTTCAGAATTTTTTCTAGCACACTTTGAATTTTTGAAACTCAGAATTTTCAAAGCTTTTCTAAAATATTAGAAATAATAGGGGGTTTTTTTTCTTGCAAATTTGCAACTTTTGAATCTCAGAATTGTTCAAGTTTTTTCTACAAAATTTCTGAGATTAACCTCAAAATTGTAAAAGAGTATTTTGGCAGAAATTTACCCCTTTTATTTTTATCTACGGTGGCGCTAACACACCATTATACTCTGCCACACTCTTTGTTGTTCCACACACACCTGCCAGTTACCATGACAACGCACAAACGAAATCACGGTTTCCTAACGTAGTCTTCTCGCACGGCAGTGACGGTAATCTAATACTTTTTTTTGCAATTGCAATCCCTTACTTTACTCGTTACTTGAACAAAAGTAATCTGATTACACTAATTGCTGGGAGAGAGAGAGGCACACGGACAGATGCATTGTGGGTGTTTTGAAACTGTGAGGATGTGTGAAATGAGCTGTCCATGTGAAATCTCTGAAATTCAGTAAAAAGTCCATCTGACTGACAGGCTGGGTGCAGATGCACGGTGGGAGGAATCTCTCCAGGGGTCATCTGGGGTCATCCGTGCTTCTTCTGCACCACAACACAGTCACTCCGACTCACACACTTTCACACACAGCCAACATGTTACATCAGCGCAGCTTGTGCAATTTAATATTAACATCAGCTTTAATTTTTTACGTCTTTCTTCTGAAGCCTGAACATTCAGACGTGTTGCACTCCGAGGCCTTCACTCGTCCATTAGGGGACGAGAAAAGAAGGTCTGGGTAGAGAGGGGCTTAAAAATAACATTTTCATACCAGATCCAGGTTCCATTATAATTGATATTTTGCCATATGATCTATTGTTTCTTTTTTTCTCTCTTTCTACCAAAAGATGGATGAGAAAAGTTTTCAATCTGGTGCTTTGGCATTGGTTCCACTAAATACCATGTCTGCATCGCACTTTAGCAGAATTTAATGTTTATTATTGGCGCTTTAGGGTTAGCACAGCTAGCTTTTTATTTAGCGGTTCCCATCATGTTTAATTCTAATAGTACAGTAGACAGAATCTCTCTTAAACTGCCTACTTTAATATTTCAAACACCAAATATATCTTAATATTAATTAAATGACCCAGTGGAAGCTGTTTTAGCAGTATACTTTTGTTGCGTAATATCAGGCAAAGCTGCAATCTGGACGTTATTCTATTCTACATCCTTAAAGTTGAAAGCTTTGTCCAGATTGCAGCTTTGTCTGATATCCTGCAACAAAAGCATTAATGTGTTTTGTTTGATTATCTAATTTCTTTTTGGAATTTTTCCCTCTTAGAAATCTGAAATGAAATCACTCATTTCATTTGCGTGATCTAAATCTGCGTGACATTCGCCATGAAATTGAAATGATTTTGATTCTCTTCACAACTCGATTCAGTTCAGTCACTCTCAGTGAGATTCTCAGATATAATTTAAAACGGAAACATGCGAAACCTGTGCATGCAGAAAGTTTGTAAGCGTGATGATGAGCTGACAGCCGCAGACATCCAGCCAAAGCCTCATTACATAACTCTACAACTAGAAGGCCGAGCACGAGCGCTCAGCGTTTAGTCCTGATGAAATCCACACAGCGGACTGGTTTCAGGGGTTGATTTAGGGCAAAAACGGGAGAAATGGACCAACAGCTGCAGGGAATGATGGATGAAAGGAGCAGCTGGATAATGAACTGATAATGGAAGGATGTATGGATGGGAGGATGATTATCCTGATGATTATGCAAGATACTCGCTAATCAGGAGATGAGTGAGATCATTACAGAAAGAACGGCACCGACAAATATGGTCCTGATAAAACGAGACGCGTTGGAGAGTCACTTCAGCTCGCTGAGTATCTGAACCCACATACGGTAAATGCAGCAGAGATTGGCCTAGTTATCAGTGTTTATCTAGCTCCAGTGGTACACAGTGTCCTTATTATAACAGAACTCCTTTATATAGATCTGCGAGGTAAGATTTCTGTTTGGGGAACTGAAGTTTTTAAATAGAACAAGCCTGGAAGAGAAACAGAATATAGATCTGTTTTGTTTTTATTCACGTGTGAGATAATTTTGAATGGAGTTATCTTCAGTTTCATCTTTATTTTGACTTTTTCTCCATGAAAGTTATGCTTTTTTTAAATTTCTGCAGAAATGTGTTGGGTTTTGACCTCCACTGAGCCTCAATGCACCTTATTACCAGTTCTTAGACAAACTTTTAATAAGAAAACATCTTACTTTACCTACTGCCATCAGTTCAGTATGGTTGAAGCAAGACTTTGATTCACATTGTCAGCAATTACTCAGATTTGTTCCGGTTCTGTAACATATGCTTGAAAGTAGTCCAATATAGAAATAAAATGAAAAGTAAATACACCCATAAAACTTTTACTAGATTTGAGTCAACGTAGCAGCTGGGTGAAAAAATTACTCACTTTGCTACAGATTTGTTCAGTTTTTTTTTAAATAAAAAAAATGCTGCTTGAAAATGAGGATTTACTTTATTAATGAAGAAAGGCTTTCTACATTAACTTTAAAATTAGCTAATGTCCTAATAATCTAAGCTAATTTTTAACGCTTTGGCATTTTAGCTAACTTTGCAAACTTTTTGCGTAAATTCTAAAACGATAATTTACTTGGCTGTTTTGTAAACTTTCAGTTTAACAAAGTTCAGTATCTGCGTTAAAATTTGGTTGTTTTTTATTTTAAGAATTATTCAAGTAGCTAGCCGTTGATATTCATGCTCTTATTTTGAAGAGTGTGAAGACTCTTCAAATACTCTTTCCTCCCCTCACATTCTCGCTCTATTTTCCCCCAAAATCTTGACAACCCTCAAGCACCAATTTAATTTTGTCATTACTTAACCTCCCTTTTACATCTTGTTCTCTACTTTCCATGTTTTATTTTGTTCACGTATGTTTCTTGTTTGTATAATCTGAATTCAAGTTTTGGCATTAGCTGCTGCTAAACTGTGTTGGTGTTAGCAACAACTAACTTTTTAGACATTGCTTAAATTATAAAACCATAAGAACTCAGGATGATTGTTAAAAATAATATTAAATAATTTCAGTTTGGCAAATTAAAACTTGAAGATGAGCAATGGGTGTGGAAAAACTGCTCACCAATACCTGTATGATTTTTGATGTCAATAAGGCGGATGCATTTTAAAGTTGCACCTTCAGAGTCCAGTCATATTCAGACTTGTAAATCAAAATATTCAGTTTTTCTCCTGAATCCAGACTTTGCAAACCTGACTAAACATTTCCAGGAAACTCCCACAGCATCTTCCCTCCCGATGATCTTCCCACCTTTCTGCTTCCTCCCTCGCTCCGTTGTATTTCCACGCAGCAGCTATGTGCAGCAGCGTTCCCATAGCAACGCTCGCCGACGTGCAGCAGGTCACCGTGTCACGAGGGACCGAGCGTCCCCTGCCTCCATTGGCTGCCCGGTATGCCAGCTCTGGCTGTGATTGGCCGGATCTCTTCCGGGTGTTTACCTTGACGAAGAGCTAAGCTGACTGATTACCAAGCGCAGACACAGAGGCACGGAGAGGCAGCGGAGTAGATAAATGAAAAGACAGCACAGATTCAGTAATCACGTTAGCGGGAAATGGAGTCACAAAGAGAGATTACAGCTGTCATTGTGTACAACAGCGGTTACTCCTGCAGATTACAGCTGCGTTGAGCAGCTAATGTCCTCATGTCACACAACAGAAACTCGCTTCAAAACACATCGCAGGACAAAATGTTGCCATGAAAACATGGAAAAGTATTTAGATTGCTGCAGATACCTACAAAGTCTGGCGTGTTTCAGTTTAGAAGCATCTAAAAACTCCTGTTTTAGTTGCTCTATTATATCATGTTTGTTAATATACAGAAGATTTATTGTAAAAACTTTATACAGAAAATTTCAGTTTTCAAATAAGTCTTTTTGTGACGATACAGGACATTTACTGTAAAAATGCAGAAAATAATAATAGAAGTGTTTGTCATTATACAGGAACTTTAGCATAAAAAAGACAGAATTTCTGTTTTTTAAGAAAAGCTTGTGGAGATGCATAAGATTTACTGTAAACAATACAGAAAATTCTGGTTTTAAATGAGAATTGTTTTTGAATATACTGGAGATTTACAGAACATTCCAGTTCTAGATTAGTAGAAATGTGAGTAAATGTCATAGTTTATTCATCTTATGCATTTCCATCTCCCTTTCAGTGCATTAACTCTTTTTCAGAAAAGCCAAAAAGTGCATTAAGCCAGCATAAAAACTTTATTTTGAATTTTATTGTTTCTAGTAACCTTTTCTAATGCAACACTTCAAAATGTGCATAAAAGAAACTTTGATGGAAACACTGCTTGTGAAATTTACACCAGACATAACGCTCACCTTCCAAAAACTTTCAATTTTGTCTCATCAATCCAAATAATATTTGCCTAAAAGTCTTGTGGATAATTTAGATTAAATCTAC